TTGATTTGAACATAGCAAAACCTGTATATTTGACTGTGCCTGAGATAAAAGTCTCAGCTTGCTTTAACCTGCCTGTCTCTCAAACTCAAGCAATGACACTACCTTAGGTTTATTTTCACCAGTTAATCCCCATCCACCAAACCCCACTAAGACTAGATTATGGTATCAGTGATGAGAAAGTGGATGGCTATTATATCTATAAGCCATACTTGCTACCAGGACAATTATGTTGCCTCAGAGCGAGGTAAAACAAACAATGGTCACCGCTAATGGCAGGTAAAAAGCCAGTGGTTTGAGAGATCAGTGCTGCTGGTTTGGAAGAGCCCAAAAATGTCTATAAGATTGTGGCAGTGCTCTTCATTACCAAGAGCTGGCAGGGATGCAGAAGACAACATTCCCAGCAGGAGAAGGCAGGCAAATGGAACCGACAAAGCCAGCACTGGTGCATCATCCCGCACGTGCAAACTGGTAGGGAGAGGGTCTCATGCTCACACATATGAGCTTTAGTATTCCAGCCTAAGAAAGCTTTCACTAAGGTAACTGGTATTAATCTGGCTTTTAGCAAGATGTTAAAATTCTCAGGGGAAAGAGAAGTTTGATCTCATGTCATTGGATATGATTAATGATTCAGATACAGTTCTCACATGTGTGACTTAATGGTAAGAACTGTACAAACAGAATAAATGTACTATTTTGACAGTACTCCCTGAAGACTACGGATGTACCAAAAGTTGTTATCATTTCACTTGCAGCACCAGAATGTAACAGTCTTGCTATATATATCTATCTTACATGTATACATATGCACACAACAGATTATTTTTTATACATATATACACACACACATATATATATATATGATGCAAGCAGCCAAAAGAAATAGCATATGGACATGCTGGAGCTGTACTTTAGAAAACCAATGCATAGAAGTAGCCCCTGTTCAAGGGCTCCATGATTTTGGTTGCCCTGGTTCTGCAGCCAGGTTGACATTTAAGGCAACATCTGACAGTAAGAACGCTCTCACTTGACAACTGAGTTAAATCTGCTGTTGTACTTTCACGCACAGCTTTCACTCTGCACTTGTGTGTACACAGCACCAAAATTAAGCTCTTGGTCCACCCAGCTGCCAAACCAGCCAACACATGAACCAGATTTCAGACACAAAATCCGCCCATTCCAATGTACCATCAGTATCCATGTTTCAAGTTCTTTGCCTTAGAATGAAATCGTGGAATTAAATGCTGGAGGACTGTCAATGGCACATCCTAATGTCAGTGCTGCCTGACTTCACGTATCAGCTCACCTGACCTAGAAGCTGCCAAGAAGTACACACATTTCTCAAAGTCTCTGGACCAGCTCAAGTATGGAAAGTAAACATGACATGAGAAATAAATCAAAAAGTGAAAATACTGCACAAAATAGGAAGTCAGTGTAAAAAAAAAAAAAAAACCCTAGTCATAATGTACAGGTCACAAGTTCTTAAGTGACAGCACGGTGACCTCAAAATACCAGTTTGGTTTTACCTTGCACTGGCATTGTATTCCAATGGAGATCAAAAACCAAACACCGTCCTCCCTCTACTGCCTTGGCCTATTGTACTACATTTGGGTAGTAATGGCAGTAATGGTAGTAATACATTTGGTAGAAATGCCAACACAAGTGAGTCTCAGTGGCTGACTTTACAAAAGCAGAAAATCTCCTTTCTATGCCAAATCAAAACCTAATTTTACTGTCAGAAAGGCAGGTCAAAAGGATGTAAGGAAAAAAAAAAAGTGCTATTTGATTCAATTAATATGTAGAAAACCCAAGGCAATTGCGCCTTTCTTCCCACCCTTGATAGTTTCATATGTCCATATCAGGAAACTGGACTCCAAAGTAAATGGGAAAGCTTTCTACACCGTAGAGGCAACAGTATTTTTCAATTCAAAAGAATAAACAATTTGCCTAATGCTCCTCATTTTATCAGATATACCTCAGTTTCCTCTCTGGAGTACAAAACAAATACTAGAGAATAGGTGACTGACTTAACTACACACTGGAAGATATCCTATGCAAGCTTGACAGGAAAAGCCAAAAGAAATGAGAAAAAATATCAAACTGTTTCACAGCAAAGTCTACAGCCACTGTCCTGAAAAAAAAAAAAAAAATCCAGTCTACCTGGAGAAGCTGCTAAAGAAGTAGTTTAAAAAAATTAAAAACAAAGCACTGCTACTAGTCTTTTCATGAACTTTCCCATATTACAGTCAGACTTGTCAGACCATTGCAACTATGAAAAACCATTCCCAGCTAGCTACTCCACACTGTTTAAGAGAGCAACATCATTTTTTACTCTTTCCAACAATTTTGCTACTGCAATAGAGAAAGCCCTTTGTTTTCACTCAGTTTCTACCATTTTAGGTGCTCTTTCCTACTAATTAACTTAAGTGCATTTGCCTCTACCATTTCTGGCATGCAGCAACACGACACTGGCATGATTCTTGACATTTCAACTGCTTCTCACAGACCTGCATTAAAATCAATGAGTTTTGTCAACTTCATCTATTCCCTAATTAACAAGGGTACATCCAGCAGCACAGGCACCAAATGTCTTCTGTTTGTGTACTCAGCAAGATGACTTTGCATCAATTTACACATTGCTTTAAACAGGAGTTTATCTTTACAGCTAGATCATTACTATGAACTTAACTCCCACAGCACCATTTTAGTGTCCTTCAGGGCTTAGTAAGAAGTTGCGCAACCCAGCACTGTAAAATTTTCGTTTATCCAACAAGGATGAGTCTTGATTACAAAAATCAGACAAAACTGGCACAAAAATTTAGGCTGCATGCTTAAAAGTTTCCTTCATAATAGAAAAGAAAGCCTTTATGCTTAAATTAAGAGTAGAAGACAACTACTTAACAGGATACAAACTCAGGTTCACAGTCTCATTGCAGATGTGTTTAAACTATGCTCCCCCTCATTCCTAACTTTATTAATTGGAAGTGTGCACTTCTTCCATTCATTTGTGTCTGCAGAAAAACACTTGAATCATAGGCAATTACTTGACATTTTGAAGATATTTTAAGATACTTGGCTTTCACATCACAAAGGTTTATTACTTCACACAGCATTTAAAAACAAAGCCATTCCTTGTTCTCTATCCACTATTCCGAGCCACGATTTGTGAATGGATTACATTAGTGGGTGGGGGGGGGAGAGAAGTGAGGGGGGAAAAGCCAACTAGAAAAGAGGAAGTTGTGCCTTTGAAAGTATCAAAGTGGAGTGCATGCTTTGCAGAGAAGAACAATTTCAGCAACAATTTTAGGTGGAATTTAACACAGAAATTTAACACATTTAACAGCGTGCATTTCAAAATGAAGCATCTCCTTCCTTTGTGCAATTAACAGTGAGACCCAAGACATAAAATTTTAAATTAAAACCTGACAATTCACTATTCTAAATTCACCTGCCGTTTACCCTACTTAAAGTTCTAAAAACCCCACGGATTCCGAGGATGAAGTAACCAGTAATATAAAAATTATTTGTCACGTTTTTTGATTACAAGAACCCTGCCCCACAAGTCTTGTCATCTTTCACTTCGCCTCGCTGCAAGGAACGAGTGCAGCATTTCTTCATCTCATCCATAAAATGGTTTCGGTCCCCTCCAAGAGTGAAAAAGAACAGACGGTTTCTACAGGAGGGAAAGCAATCTTTGGGAAAATCAAGATGTGTGGGAAACAGCAAAAGTCCTTGGGCTCAGACACGCCGCTTCGAAACACCTGGCAGTAAATCAATGTCACCCATTTCGCTGTAATCCCTCCAGTCACTTTTACGAAGATTACTTCCTGCAGTGCATTCCTCACCCTGCTCCCTCCCCGGCCGACAAGGACTCCAGCAAAGACCACTTCGGGAAGCCGCACCGCACACACGGGACCGGCGCCGCGACAGCGGGACCCGGACCGGGGTGCGGGTCACGCCTGGCACAACTGTTTCGCTACCAGCCCCTGACTCCTGCCCGACTCCCGATTCCCTGCCAGCGCCACAACTTTCTTTCCCCGTGCCCCTCGGAGAGTCCTGCCGCAACTCCAAGGGATGCGGGGGAACTGCCGCCGCCCCGTTCCCGAGGTCTCCGCCGCAGGGGACACCCCAGCTCCCGGCGCTTCCCTTCTCCCGCGCCGCGGTGGCGACCCCTCACGCTCCCTCCGACCTGCCACAGCGTGTCCCGTCCGCACCGCCTCCCTCTCTCTCTCCTTGCCTCCCTCCTCGGCTCCCGGGGCGGCCGCGGCTGCCGGCTCCCTCCGGGGAACAGGCAGGGGCGCAACTTCGCGGAGTGGAGGAGCAGGGGGCGGGCGGCGGGGCCCTCCCGCCGTCCCCGCGGCCACGGCGGAGGGAACCCGCGGGTCTCCCCCGCCGCGGCGCTTTCCCGCCTCCCCGTCCCGCCCGGCGGCGGCGGCGACTGACCAGGGGTCGAACTCGTGGATGATGCTCTCGAAGCGGATGACGGCGAAGAGCCGGGAGCTGAATCCAGCCAGCCAGGCCAGGAAGAGGATGGTGAAGGAGAGCAGGGACTGCCAGCCCGCCGGCTGCGATAGGCCCCCCGACAGGCCGCCGCCCGCCCCGGCGCGGCTGTGGAGCGGCGCCGCGGAGTTGGCGGCGGGTCTGTGCTTGTGGTCGGGGGCCGAGTGCTCCGCCATGTTGTACCCGGGGCTCCCTCGCAGCCTCTCCCTCCGCCCGGCGCGTGCGGGGAGGAGGAGGCGGAGGAGGGAAGGAGAGGAGGGAGGAAGGGCAGGGGGCGGGGGGCTCGGCAAGGGGCGGGGCGGAGCCCGCCCGTTCTTGCTCGGCGCTCCTCGCTGACTCCCCGCCGCCTCCTGGCGCACCCGGGCTCTGCCGCTGCCTCCTCCTCCCGCCGCCGCCGTCACCGTCCCCCGGGGCGGGGGGGAGCACGGCGCGGCGCGCGCGAGCCCGGGGGGCGGGGCCATCCACAGGACGGGGGCGGGGTCAAGGAGCCGGAGGGGCGGGGCTCGAGACGGCCCGGGGCGCGCGCGCGGCTGCGAGGGGCAGCGGCGGGGTGGGGAGGGGGCTCTGCCGGGAGGGGGCGGCGGACGGGACCCAGGCGGGAGGTAAAGGGGCGGATCGCGGCTCCCGTCCTCCGTCCCTCCCGAGCGGGCCGTTTGACATTGCCGCCCCTCCGGAGCGGGAGGAGCTACCGGTGAGGGCGGGGCTCTCAGGAGAAGGAGAGGGGGCGGGACCGATCCCCTCCGGTAGCGCCCTCCTAACAGGAACTCCGGTGACGGCCTGTCACGGAGCGACAGGTATTTAAAAGGGGCGGGTCATCCCCGAGTAGCCAATCAGAGCGGCACGGCCCCGCGCGCAGGGGGACGTCGCGCCCGGTGCCAGCCGTTGGGACAGTTGACTGGCAGCCGTTTGGTCCAATCGGAGCGCGGCGTGCCAGTCACGTGGGCGCCCCCGGCGCCGTGCCAGGGCGCTGCGGTGCGTGTGGGCCGGTGGGTGGTGCCGCTCCCGGCGTGCTCTGGAGCGGCGCGGAGCGGAGCTTGCCGGGAGTTGTAGTCCGCCCTGAGGGGGCGCGGCGAGCCCCGGTAACTCCGTTTGTTAGGAATATTTATTTGTCCCGGTGGGAACTGCGATGGCTGGTGCTGAGGGATGTGGGCGAGCTTCGCCCTCATGCAGTTGAGAGGAGTAGCTTAGGGCAAGGTCAGGGAGAGCCCTGTGTGTGCCACTTGCCTCAGCTGGGAGCATTTTTACGGAATCCATCAGCACATCAGTTATGTTGGAAGAGACCTTCGAGGCCATCGAGTCCAACCTATGGCCGAACACCACCATGTCTACTCGACCATGGCACTAAGAGCCAAATCCAGTCTTTCCTTAAACACTTTCCATTCCAGAGATGATGACTCTACCACCTTGGTCAGGTGCAGTGACTGGCAAATGGACACCTTGGCTTTTTTGGGAGGGTGGGATTGTTTGGGGTTTTTTAAATTGTCTTTTAGGAGTTTTCCCATTGAAATGCTATTTGGGAGCCTTTGTAACTTCCTCAAATATTTTGCAAAACCTGTGGCTACAAGGAGAAGGTGGAGAAAACAGAAGGCTTCTGGGGTTGCACAGTCAATGGTGTTTGAGGCGTGCTGGCCTTTTTTCTACCCTGAGGTGGCAGGGGACAGCCTGCTTTTTGAAAAAGTATGATATTAAACACAGGCAGAATCAAAAACTACGTGGCTCTTTGCACTGATCACAAGAACAACGTGTTTTGTGGTTTTTATGCAGGGCTTCAGTTTTGAAATTAAATAGCTTGATTTGTTTGTCGTCTGAGGTCTGGGCATTCCCTTTGATGCACAAATGTGGCTCTTCAAAGGTCCTGAAGACTTGCAGTTCAATTTCACTAGTATGGATGGGGACCATACTGGGCCTTAGTTGACTAATACAATTCTAATTAATCTCTAGCTGTATTTTGTTGGGCAGAGGAAGGAAACAGTATGTTTCTTCCTGTGAACAGTGAAAATCTTTCTGTTACAGAATCCTAGAAGGGTTTGGGTTGGAAAGGACATTAAAGATTATGTACTTCCAACCTCCCTTCTATGAACAGAAGCATCTTCCACTAGACAAGGTTACTCAAAGCCTCATCCATCCTGGCCTTGAACACTTCCAGGGATGGGACATCCTTCAGCTTCTCAGTGGCTCACCACCCTCACAGTAAAGAATTTCTTTCTAACATCCAGTTTAGACCTACTTCCTCTCAGTTTAAAGCAATTTCCCCTTATCCTGTCACTACCTGCCCTTGTAAAAAGTCCCTCTCTAGCTCTCTTCTAGGGCCCCTTTAGATCCAGGAAGGTGCTCTGAGGTCTCCCTGGAGACTCCTCTCCTCCAGGCTGAAAAGCCCCAACTCTCTCAGCCTGTCTCCATACAAGAAGTGTTCCAGCCCTCTGATTATTTCCATGGGCCTCCTCTGGACTCATTCCAACAGATCCATGGCACTGCTGTGCTGGAGACCCCAGAGCTGGATGCAGCCCTCCATTGAAGTTGCTCCTTTAGTGAACAGCTCTGTTCAACAGTCCTTGGAGCATGTAACTATTTTTCCTCAATCCTTGCATTAGCCAAGGGGGGTGACTTGGTCACTGTGTTTGAAAGCAGAGGAACTGTATTGTCAGATCTGTGTATGTTTTGATCTGAGCACTTTGATATGCTGTTGCTCCTAAAGGACTCCAATTCATACAGCCACAGAATGAGGCTTAGGAAAACTTCTGGAAGATTTCGAGGTTCAGTTTTGCTGAATCCGGCTTTTGAAAAGCTACATTTTTGTTAGGTAGGGATTTTTTGTTTGTGTTGGTTGTGGTTTGTTTGTTGCTTTTCTACGCACTGTATTCTTTCTTGTTTAAATAGGCCAATAATATGTTAAAGATAGACATTTGGCCCTTTTCTAGTGTTGTCAGTGAGGCTTTTTTAATGAGCTGACCAACTGGCATTTCAAGTGAAGGATTTGTTTTTTTTTAATTGGCTCGTGAACGCAGAGCGAACGCGAGCAGAAATTTGCAACTATCAAGTGTTTTCTAAAAGGTACTGGCCGATTTTACAACAGGCTCAGTCCTCATCTACTTTTCTGAATTTCTATTCTGTCAGTTGGCATCCTGTTTTTGGTAACAGCAGTTCAGGCTTAACGATGCAGCAGAGGAGCTGTTTCAAATGGCAGTGTTGTACGCTGAGAGAATACCTTTGTCTTTTCTTTCCTTCCTGACAGTTTTTCTAGATGTTAAGGAGCCAAAAAGGACTGATGATTCATATTAGCTGGGAAAAAAATGTGTGTATCAGAGCTTTTTTTTGTGTATAATTTACTACCAATGTTAACTTTCCTTGATTTGGAATATGATTTATTTAAAAATTATTGCAGATCATGGTGTGGATAAGGTTATGTGATGTTTACTTTAAATTTCAGTGCTATAACTTTTACTTGCAACAGGGAGGTTATATCATTCTGAGTGTACTGTCAGAGTTAGATCAGACAATTTTTTGAGCATAGACAAGCCCAGACGATGTGATTTATTTGAATGCTGACTAATGGTAAAGTGTATCTTTGTCATTGGTAACAAATTATATTGTTGCCTATTTATTTTCAAACTGTTCAAAAGGCTGTACTCTTGAATATCTCAGAGCTCAGGGCAATGAAATTTAGTGGCAGCAAAAGCACAGTTCTAGTAAAAGCTTTTATTAATGTTTCTGTAAATATATTGTTTGAATTGAAATAAGGCTTAATAATCTTATGATAAAATCAATCAAACAAATGCAGACAGATGGAAATTAAGAGACTCCTCTAGGTAGATGCAAGGATTCAGTGGGTTTGGTACTACACTGCAATGACAGCAATGAAAAGTACATTTCTGTAGAGGAGATGCAAAATGTGCCTACTGGAAACTGCATTCAACCCACACTAATAGCTTGAGAGGGAAGGACATTTTCCATTTCTCTCCTTTTATTTTATCTTATTTTATTTTTACTTCCTCCATCCCCCCCATCCTCTTGTGTTCTTTGTTTTGTTTCAAGGTAATTTGGTTTGATTTGTTCCACTCTGTGTGGTGGTGCATTCTGCGGACACAAAACCCCACAAAAATGTCCACATTAGTGACTGAGAAGTTGACTTTGCATAGTGATTATGAACCATTTTGTGTATAGAAAATCAGTTTCCTATTCTGAGTGTGTAAAATAATGGCCAAATGCCTTAAGGAAAGAAAAAAGTCTTTCATTTCCAAGTTTCCTTAATAGTGGAATTATTCAGGGGATAATGCCAAATGCAGAATTCATGTTATGGTTGTACAAACTAGAAAATCTTGAAAGCTTTGGATCTGCATACAGGAAAATGTCAAATGAGAGCTTTTCATTCCTCAACAAGAGCTACCATGTGTCAGTACTGCTGAAAGAATGGCAGCAAAATTCCTGCAGTAAAAACTGCACATGGACACATCCAGAAAATCAGTTATTAATCAGAAGTACAGACTCATGGTTCATATTTCTCACCAAACGTCATTAGCAACAATTCAGCAGTGTTTAGTAACAGGAGTAAACACCTTAGTTTAGAAAGCCGTTTGAAGAGCAGTTCAGGTTTGGAGTGAGTAAACAGTCTTTCCAACTGCAGCTGAACAAGTTGTTAAGCTTGATATTAAGATAATTTGAGGATGGCTTTAGAAGTTAATGATACAATACCTCCTGAAATGAAGAATATTAAAATAGTACAGTTAAGCATAATTTGGTGTGGTGGAGGATACTTGATTTCAGCTATGTGCTCAGATGGTCATTGATTTAAAAATGTTCAAATGAGAGAAAACATAACCCTATTGCCTAAAATTATCTTTGGGAACCTGAAGTTTAATACACTTTAAAAAATCACCATCTATTAGTCTCCATGTAGACAAAAATGACATGAGTTTAATTGTAAAATGGGTTTAATTCAGCAGCTGCGACCCTTTGTGGATATGTGTAAATCACTTAAGCAGTGATACAAGATGGTCTGTAAAGAGTTTTGCACCTGTGCAACTATAATGAGGTTTGCAATTGATTTGAGTAGAAATTGCACAACTGGTGTGTTTAGGCAAGGCCTTCATCTGGCATTTAATTCAATAACAGGAGAATCTCAAACCTTACAGTGTTTTATTTCTGATTCCTTCTCTTCCTTTCCGATAGTTTGAATGTGTTGACGTTGCTCCTCTGCTTCTTGTGTCTTAATTATCCTGCTTAATTTGCCTTTCTCATGACATGTACAGTGGTAAAAATCACTCCAGTCTGCATGCACAGATCTGCTTTTTGCTCTCCCTAGCCAAGCTCTGACATAATCATCTGCTACCATAACCTTTTCCATCAACTCTGTGTTTACTTCTTGTGAAAAAAATGGGGCTTTTCCTTCTGCTGAGCTGGTGCCAGCCCTCCTAAATCTTCATCCATTGTTAAACAACTGAGGGAGAGACACACAGTGGGCTTTTCTTTAAATAAATTAAAAAAATGCCATATTCAACGTTCCACATGTGTATTTTCTGACCCAGGTACATAAGTGCTGTGCAACATTTAAAACCTGAGGACCTCTGAAGTACCTAATCTAACATGTTTTGTTGTCTGTAGTGTTTGCAAGCACCTTAATCAGAATTTGGTTGTTCTTGGCAAATGCTGCACTCAAGTGTTTTTGCAAAACTTTAATTTTATTCCTTCTGGTAAGAAGGAAAGTACTGCCTTGGGGATGATCAAAAAAGAGTTTTATAAAAGTCCATTTTCTTCAGGGGCAACACCAAATGGCCCATCTGAAGAGAGATGTTTAACATGTAAATGCTAGGTACCTAGGTGTTGTAGATAGTGGGTCTTATTAAAATGTTTTGTTGGAACAGCAAAACTGCTCAGGGAACCAGCTGGAGGGTAAAGCCAACCTCTGGGAAGTGGAGTAAAAGTTATATTCAGTTTAAGTATATGAGATCTCTCACTGCTTAGTCACAGTTAAGGTGAATTTTGTTGAAGTGAGAGGGAAGAGCAGAGTACAGGAAAGAGGCATTTTGCTATTTGCTATAGCACCAGCTGCTGTTACAGCATCAGGGTAAGATGTGTGGAAACAGCAAAGAACAGAGAGGCAGAGAGGAAAAAAATATTTTTAAGGTGTTTAAAGCCTGCTGAAATCAGTGGGAGATTTTTCTTGGTAGCATTTTGTTCATCCTTGAGTTGGATTTTTCTTTATTGCCTCCCTCACCAGAACATTCCACACAGTTTCTGGTAGCAATTGAATGTAAGGGAAGGAAAAAAGATTTTATTTGCACATTGTCTGTAAACTGTTGCCATAATTCATCAAAGCTTAGCTCTTCTGATTTTAGTTTGGCTGATAAATTTGAGCAAGTTGTTTAAGTTGCAAAATTCTTCTGTAGTATCAAAGAATACTTCAGTGCATTAACTAATTAAGGAGGTAGAAAAAAAGAAAATCGTGTAGTAAAATATCAGCAAAGAATTCCCCATGCCTGGAAATTTCACTGTAAGTATTGTGCAGTATTTTTCCATAATTGGGTTTATAGTCTAAATGTGCACAGCCTTGAGGAAAGAGAATTTTACAAAAGATTGTTTGTAGTGCTTTTCTCTTGGTAGCAATTCAGACTAATTGTCTCCTTGCTGTTTTCTAGACTACTTGTAGGTATTTTTGTGGTCAACTGCTGCATTAATAACTGCATTAAAATTGTAAAAGAATTTAAGTCAAAAATGCTTATGGGTGGAGCTTATGGGTGCTTTGGGATAGTGTAATTTCAAACCATCCTTGCATGTAGGTCTGAAGTGAGGACTTCGTCATTGTCAAGAAGAGAACTCAGCAGTGACTACTTTGACTTTATATTACTTGAATTTCTTTGACTTCTGCAGTGGCATCAAATGATTAGAGGATTCAGAAGGAAAAAACTGATGTATTGAGGTGAAGTTACTATGAGGTTTTTACTGCCTTCTGTCCACATATGAACTGAGACACCACGTTCTGTGATATATAATCTGCAGGCTTCAGTTCAGGTCTTCAGGTCCCCAGCAATCTCTTTTTGCAAATGACTCTAGTGCCTGAATCCTAGATTTATTGTTATCCAGTTCAATTTCTGGTTTTTTGTTGTTTTTTTTTCCCCCCTTATCATATGTGTTCTGAAACAATGAATCTTAATGTTTAAAATCCTATCCTGGGGAAACTGACCCCACAGTAATTAATCTAATCCTTACTGCTAAACTCTCTTCTTGTGCCTTCCTTTCTTAAATATTTGTTCTACTTTATACATCTTAGAACATTGTAATCCCTATTGATACTCTATGCCATTTCCTGATACATCCTCCCAGTTTATTACTGATACTTGCTCCCAGGCATAAAAAATCATAGTATTTCCAATTAATTTCTTTAGAATGGATTTCTAGTTGCTAAAGGAAAGCAGCCACATAAATTTGATGCAAAAATAAAGATCCTTTTCTTATTTGACTGTAGCAGAAGTACTGATGCAAAAACAGGACCAGGGGACAGACTCTTTCTGCCAAAGCAGCCAAGCCACTGTTCAAGGCAGGGCACATTGGGCTGTTATAACCATTTCATTCTCCTTCTTTGACATGGCAATCACCAAGTAATTCAACATTAATGTAACAAGCCATGTCTTACTTTTTAAAAGCCCCTTTGTTTTCTTCTGGTGTAAATTCTGTCCTGTAATTTTTTTCCCTAGTTTTGCTCTCTGTACTTCTGCATTTAGAGACGCTTGGGAGGGAGGAGGGGTTGCATGAAGTTGTCTTAAACATAAGATACAAAATTGCTTTACAAATGCTGATTTAGTAACTCTGCTGCCCTGACACATGCATACAGCCTCCCTGGTCCCTTCCTTCTCCCATCTTGTTTGATATTTTTACATGGAACCAGTGTTGCTTGAGATCATCTAGAATTGCCAGGACAGCTGTAATAACCTTAATCTCAACATTTCTCCTTTCTGAGCTAGAACAGATACACTTTGGTTTTGCACGAAGGACTGTAGTCAGTATTGCTTTGGCTTCTTTGTGCCATGGATGTTGTGCCAAATTATTGACCTTCAAAATTATAAGGGTGAGAGATTGGAAAAATCTTCCAACTGTTCCCTGTACATATGCTTCAAGTACCTTTATGTACAGTATTCAAGATTCAATGTGAGATCCTTTCCAGTCCCATAAGCTACTGCAGGGATATCTGTCATGGAGCATTTCTTCCCCTTCCTTCTCCTTCTCCTTGAAAATTGGTGTTCCCTCTGTTGTTTCTAACTCTTTTCTAACTCTTCCTCTCTCCAGCTGATGCCTTGTTGTATTTCTTGGATATATTTCAACTTGGCTGTTTGGCTCAGCCTTGACCTTTAGTGGATCCACTGTAAAGCTTCCTGGAACCATAAGTGTCTGGCACAGGGCAGTCCCTGACCACTTCCCACAGGTTTCCAAGTCCACATAGGCAAGCTGGACAGGGAATGTGACCAAGCTATCTGCATCATGATATCTTTTTGCTGGTTACTAGGATTTTTTTACTTTACTCAAATGTCTTTTTGTTCCATACTGTTCTGTTTATACAATGTCATGTATTGAATATTTTGTTTGGAGAGTGTATGTATTTATGGAGTCATACAGCTTTTGAGAAGATCCTATTTCTTAATTTTGGGAATAAATTCAGGAATTTCTAAGGTAATGGGCCTCTCTTTTAGAGAAAATACCCCCATAATCTTACAAGGTTCTTTAATTTGCTGAATTGGTTCTGCTTACATCTCCTTCGTGCGACTTCCATCTGAAGCAGATACACTTCATGATTTTTTTTGCAAGCAGATGGTAAGATTTGTGTGGAGATCCTAGACAATTTTTATTGGACTGTTAATTACTAGCATTTAAGTTATTACTATAGAATTATGCTAATGTTTTGTTATTTCTGCAACAGTTACCCTTCTTCTGGAGAGAAACGTGGCCTGTGACTTTCTTGTTTTCTTCATTAACTCATTGTGGTAGGTAACAACAAAGAGAAGGCAGTGTTCAAATCTCTTTCAAAAGCAGTAGAGTAATTCTGCTATGCTTAAAAAAAAATGCAGTCTTGTTTCACTGCAGTCCCACCACCCTACTGTGACCTGTAGCTTAATGTGCACTGTCCTAACCTGGACTGACAAGTATAAGTTGTATGTGGTTTCTTCTAATGTGATAGGAGAAAATTTTTGTTAATACAGGCAGCACAGGTTCTCACAGCTAGAGACTAGAAAAATCTGTGAATATTCAGTATGAAGACTGACCATCTTTTACTTCATTGTGTGTTTTAGCTGAGAATGAGATATGTCTCTGAAGATTAGCCAGGTCCTCCAGAGTAGTATAAGCCCTGTCTGTCAGCTTATATATAATGCAATTTTAATACAATATACATATACAATACGTTTTTGTTTTGGAATCCTATAGAGGCTCCTAAAAATCCAGAAATGCAAGGTAAACCCTGAGTGCTTTTAGGTATACAAACCTCACTCGGATAAATTTGCGATCATAAAAAGTTTTCTCTCTCTGTTTCATATTAGAACAATCTAAAGAATGACAGATCCCCAGTAGGATGAAAAAATGAAATATCAATATTTTAGTTCCTCTGCCTCCATATGGTATTATTATCCTTTTACTCACACACCGAACATTATGGCAGCTAGTTTCTTGAAAAGGAAGCAGAATCAATCAGCTTCCTAAACAATAGTGCGGGGTAGGTCTGTAAGAAATGCATATGCTAAAGGATGAGAGATATAATCATGGCTTGTTCCACCCATCCATGCTTGAGAAATTAATACCCCTCAATGCAGGTTTTTAATTTGGTAATTAGACATTCTCGTGCTTGATCTTAAGTTCATTTTGGAAGTAGTACTCTTGTAATTTCTAACCATCGCTTTTTATTAACTCTTGGGAAACCACACGTTTGTGTATTGGGAGATTAAGTGTAATCAGATTCCATCTCACTAAAGCACTGCTGTGTAAACCACTTCACCTTCTGTTTAACTGAGAAACTGAACATGGAGAGGCTTTATGTTAACAAGGAAAGGATGAATATTTAAATTGGCCAGAATGGTGTTATGGCTCTTCTGAGCCTCTTACTGCATAGTTACTGGCATTGCCTTGTTGCCTATGCTTATGTTGTCTTTATTTTCAGGGATCTGCAAGGATTGGGAAATGCTCTGGAGTTATGAATAATACGCTGGTAGAAGAGTTGGGATGCTAAGTGTTCAAAACAAGATCATCAGTGTATATGTGTCATGAGCAAGCAAACACTGCGTTTCTACCCACGTTTCTAGTCAACTCTGAATTTTTGGAAAATACAGTTTCTGAGGCCTAACTTACCTGTGGCAAAGCCATTTCGCACTGAAGGAATAGAGGCCAGTTCTTTTGGTAACAACTCTGTTTACAATTTTCCAACTGGTCAGTGGATCCTCATAATGGCTGCCTACGAGGAGTTTGCCAAGCATCCATTCCCAAGGACCATTGATTGACTGGAAAAACTGCTCTTCATTGGAAAACAAAAATTGAAAAGAGCTGAAGAAAGTTCTTCTGTTGCAATGATTATGCTCTTGGTCTAGTGCAGGGTATCCTACTGTGAGCAAGGAGTCATGTCATGTCTGCTGATGAACAGAATTTACACATAAAGTAAAAGAACTGTAAAGATGTAGTAGTGTGTTTTGCCTTTTAGGCTCTGTTTTAAATGTCTGCCCTGAAACCTAGTAATATCTATGTTTTGTAGGGCTCTGAAGAACAGTAGTGCAGATTGGCAGATGTTTTGATCTGATAGGAGCTGAAATTCTATTCTTAAACCATTAATACTAAATAGATCTAAATTTCCTGCACTTCAGCTGTTTTGCAAGAGAATTGATTGTGATATCTGAGACAGAAAAAAAAACAAACCTATGATGGTAGTTGTGGAAGATTTTACTTCAGTTTTAGAGAAAATTAAGAAATATTTTTAAACCAAAAGTTTTTTTTATGCTTGTGGTGGAGGGAAGAGAAAAATGCCTGTACCATAAGGAGCATATGTGAAATCATTATCAGCAGGAGCATTCTTGGTGTTTAGCTACTTGGTCAATCTAAGAACTTGCCTGCAGTAACAGAGTTAAGCATTTCTTGCTGTGAGTTTTCAAACTGTTTTGAAGATAGAGTAGCTTGGATTCTGATTGGACTGAATCCATGACAAAAGAACTGGGACTATGAGATGAGAAAAATTGGTAGATTTTCCAACAAGGATTTCTATCTAAGTGCTGTGAATTGTTGCCAGAGCACACTTATGGTGATGTATCTGTTGGACTTGTGTCTTTTATGTCATGTCCTGCCTAGAAGCCAGGAAGATGCTGCTGCTACTGACTGTTAGTCAGGATCAGAGTGATAGCCTCTTGCAGAAGCACTTTGGCTTACTTATTGGATCAAGAAACCATCTTGGCAGTGTTCTTGGCAGTTTTCTAGGTATATTTTTCAAATATTTTTTTTTCCTCTAGGAAAGTTAATAGATGAGCTCTGAAAAAAAATTGCTGTGCTTCCTCTAGAGATCAGGATGTCTTGGACATTTGTGTTTTGGTTATTTATCAGGATATAATTTCTCTCTAGAAATGGATAAATTGAGAATACCTGCAGATTTTCGGTAATAGGGAAAAGTTGCTGATGAGTTGGGAATATTTTTATAAGATCTATTTTATAAAATATATTTTTTATGTTTTATTTGAAGACAGTAATTTTAAAGTCATTAAAATGTGTAATTCTTAAGTTCAGCACTTAAGCTTGTATTTATCTTTGAGCATGTGAATAACCCCAATAAAGTGCACAGAGGTAATCTTATGCTGAAGTATTTTTGCTGAATTGTGTCCCTAGAAAATTTGATACATGCAAAGAAAAACATATCTAAATATATGAGCATTGTTCCCAGATTTGGTAGAAATATTTCTGCTTTCTATGTGTACTTCTTATAATAAGTTTCCCTTGAATGCAGTTTGAATATAATTTTGCTGTTCAGCAATCCAGATGCAAGAAACATGCCACAAATATCTTGCCCTTCTCTCCCTCCCCCAAAGTTGCATTTGGCAAGAGTATCATGCTATATATTGATGTTTCTATTTTATAAAGAATTGTTAAAACTTTGGACAGTTATAACATACCTTTTTGCACTGTTCCATAAGCACAGAGAAAGTGCAAGACCATTTACTCTCCTACTCCAATCCAATATAATATTGATCATTATGCTCAAGAAACTCTATTATCACTCTGGAAACAGGATGAAACCACGCTTGTCCGTAATAGTTATTTATAATTCATTTAGGAAGAATCAGCCCACAGGAGTGGATCTCTAATTTTTAGTTTTGGTGACTGGGGTGTATAAGCTTTCAAGAAGGTGCGTGGGATATATCTTGAGGGAGGTAAGTTTATGAGGAACCTGACGTTGCTCAAGGCTCACCAAGTTGTAATAAAGAGTAGCTGACAGGCAGAGGCAGTGCACAGCCCAGTTATTACTCTTTCTGTCCAATAGGAAGCTCTGTATGGTTCCAGGATGTGACCCTTTTATTCCCTGTGGAGAGGAGAGAGTCAGGGCTGGGTCTGCATATCAGCTCTCTGCTGTAAGACTTGAGTAGCTGGAGTCATGCAGAGCAGTGTCTGCAAATATTTCCATGGGAGGATTTGAAACTGGGATCCCAGGAGTCCTTTTGAGACAGAGATCAATAACTGAGACTCCCTGTTCAGTCTGTTTTCCTTAGGGTTGTAGGTAGCCAGAACTGCATGGCAGAGCAGCTCTCTTGTGAATGGTTATAGGTGGAGCTCCAGGTGGCAATGTTAAATTTAGGTATTTTGGTCAATATCCCAAGGAAAGACTCCAGGCCATTGTGTCATTTCAGGAATTCTCACTGATGTGATCAATCACTGATGTGATTGCTTTAAATTGACCAGTAGATTTACTGCTCCAATTTGGCTTAAATACCTTTTGTGTACCCTTTGTTTACCTGTGTGTCTTTGCCGTTTCACTTTGCTCTGGGCATTCACAGCAAGTTGTGTTGGACCACGATCAAATGTGAATGTGTCAGAGTCATGTTTTAGAAACGTAATTATGATACAGTACTTGTGAAATGGTGCTTAAATATAAATAGGTTTTTGGTTTTTTGCAATTTTAAAATCATTAGTGGACTTGTCAGACTTTTCAACCTTAGTGTTTTCTGGAATAAGGAAGGACAGAGTTTTCAAAATATGATGTTTTTCTTTTTATTGGTTAAAAAAAATTATCAGGCATCTTCATTTACTATATGAATTATGGGATCTAGATATGGGAAAGACTTATTACTTTATGTAGTCCATTGCCTTCCCCAGCGAAATGGTTTTCTGCCATAAACTTTTCCAGTGCTTTGGGCAATTTAGTTTTAAATATCTCTGCAAATAAACAGCACTTTCACTGCTTCTCTAGGTCAGTTATTGAATACCTTTTTTTTCCCCCCAAGCGATTTCATTATATTTTACTTTATATTTAGCATACATATACAGATAGCTAGATGGATATAAATATCTTTTAAATGATAGAAATGTGTTATCTGAGATTTTCTGGATTAGATAGAGAAAAAAAATTCTTTCCAGTCCAATGCTGTAGATACCCAATGCCTCAGCAAATGTTGAGGTTTTGCAATTATGTTTTCATATCTATTTTGTTGCAGTAAGGATCTCCTGAAGAGTGAGAGAGGATATGCTATTGAAAAAAATTCTTTCAAATACATCCTGACTTAAAAAAAAAGGGTCTCCTATTACCATGACTACTTATCACAGCCATTTTGCATACTGCTAATTGCAATGACAGGTAAGCAAAATGAGATATGTAAATTATATCTCTGTATTTTAAATTAATGACTACATTAATGACTACTGTCCTTAGTAATTCTTGCTCTCAGGCACCACAGATCTTTGTCGGCATTCCTTCTGAACTAACACTGTTATTGTTGAAACAAATTGCACTGGTCTGCTTCTTTTAATCTCTCTAAAAGATTAAAGATCAAGTAAAGAAAAACATTATAGAGGCACAAAAATCTAGCATTCTCTTTCGTTTTGTTTCACCTTTAATCAAACTGTAACTGCTCCTGCTAGAAGGAGTTTTTGTAGCACATCTATCTTGTCCAGAAATGTAATGATTTGTCACATCTTTGGGAACTACTTATGTGATAACAATGACTTAGTGTGCAAGACTGTACAACAAGGGGGTGATTAAAAGGAATTTCAGAACAGAAAACAGTTCAATTTAAGAAAATAAGCCTAAAAATATAGCTTGCTAAAACAGTTCATATCAAAATAAAGATAGCATCCTCTGATTTAAAATTTATATATATGTTCAATATTTGAAGTTTTTAAATAATATTTTTATTAATTTTCTGAATATCTAGAATCCGAATAGATAAAGGTCTTCCAATAATTTTATTCTTGGTAATAGAATTATTCATGGTTAAAATTTGGCTTGCTTAAGTTCCTTAAAAAATGGTATCTTAATGAAATCACATGATTGACTATATAGCTGTAGATCAGTTCATAACCAAAAAAAAGGATTTGAAACTGCTATTGCCTTCATCCCTTAATTTCATACAACAAACTTCTGGTGTTTCCCCTCAAAAATGATAGAGTTCTTAAGAAACTGATCTGCTGCCCTCCCTTCCCAAAAATATTGTTGGGACTTGTGTGCATGCCAAAATGTTTGAAGTACTTAATGAATTTTAAATAAATTGTATCTGACTTTTGTATACTTTTTTTCCCAAGGATTTTAGCTTTATCCATAGACTATCTATGGAGATATCTTGCTCAAAATAAACCAAAAATTAGGTAGAAATGAATCCATAAGGAAGTAGTGCTCCCATCTGAGTTGTCACTTGCTACCTTTGGTTGTCAAAATTGCTGAGCAAAGTATGCAGATGAGCAAGCTTGTTGCCCAGGAAGTTAAAGATAGAAATCTTCAGAATATGTGCGTTCCTGTGAGAAGTCTTTTGGCCTGGGATCTGTTTCTTGTGAGAAATCTTCCGACCAAAGCTTCAGATAGAACTGAGGAAACATAATGTATTTAATTGATTAGGAATTTACTGGATAACCAGTAGTAGTGAGCCCTCTAACCACCATGAGTAAATGTGATTAGATACTAAAAAATTACTAAATTTTCATTAATCAGACTTTATGTCCAAACGCAATTTCCAGAAAGTAAAATCTTATTTCCTTTACAAATTTGTCTTTGTCTCTTTACTGCTCTTATCCTGAGCAATTTTTAATTTTCAAAGCTGATGAATATCTGCAGTCATCTCTCATATCATACATCTACGCTTCAGTCTAGCAATGTAGCTACAGCTCCTCAGGATACACCTGAGCTGGCTTTAAAATTGCTCTTGGGGGTACCCAGCACAGTGTAGCCAGACAGGGGGTTGGAGTTTCATTTAGGCTGTTTGATGTATTTAGGCTTTAACAGTCTGTACTGAGACTCATCCTGCCTCAGGATGGACTTTTGTCAGTCACTGAATTGGTTAGATAAGTCAGCTTGGATATGTACATGCAAGCTACCCTGCCTAGTGTAAGCCAGCATATTCTTTATTCCACTGGAAGTTGTGTAGGATAAAGAAAGGTCAGTGTGTTCAGAGTCCTGTGGAGGGAATAAAGGGATTTGCAACATCTAAGTGACCTGCAGTACCTTCAAACGGAAAAAAAAATACAATGCAGGGGTTACATCATTGCCTTGAGTGTTTATAATATTTGATTTCTCTCCCCAGTAGATATATAAAAGACCAAACTCTGACAAGAGTAATGGATTTGAACAAATCAACCTTAACAGAGAATATTACAGTCCAGAGTATTCAGCCCAATCCCAGTGTCATTTAGCATAAAAGCTATCAAGCAAACCAGTACCAATTATTTGTATCACTCCTACCCTGCTTAGATTACTTGTCTGAGATTTATTTTTGCAAGTTTCCATTTTATAGTATATTTTTATTACCAGTGATAGAAATATACTTATTTTAAAACAGGATGTAACAATATTGCAGTGTTGCCCTTTGTTCGATACCATATTTTATTCTTTTCTTCTTCTTGGTAGTAATGATAATAACACTTAACACTTATAGTATCCCATGTATTGAAAAGATCTTTGCTGCCATCAACTCAATATCTTGTATAGATTAGTTAGATATTGTATCTCCATTTTAGAAATAATCTGAGACAGAAGATCTTTAACAACTAGCCTTTGAAAAGTATTCCTAATTGTCTCTCACTGAATTCTTGTATATATAACTCTAATTTCCAGCGGTTCCTGGCCTCTTCTGTTACCTTCAACAGGGGAATAAACCATTTCTCTAAAAAGAGGAACCAAGGAGGACAATTGACAATGTGTCTGCAATTGAGTAAGATGCTGTTTCCTCTTATGTGCTCTCTTTCCTTCAGTCTCCTTGGGTTCCATACCATACTCAGCGTACGCTCCACCCCTCTTGTAGCCACAGACCCACCGCTGCAGAGCTCAGCAGGCAAACCTCAGTCTCTGGAGACTCTAGAGAGTCTCTAGTTACACTGTTTTTCCTTCTCACTTTCTGCCCATCAATCATCTCAGTACTCCTGCATATTATCTGCTGATTTATCCATGACTTCCCTCTAATTGTAGTCCCTTCCTACCATTCTTCTGTTCTTACATTCCTATGCTTGCTTGCAAGTGGCTGAAGAATCTTAGTGGTATAATTGCCATGGATTTACCCATCCAAAAGAATGTTAAAATTAAGAACAGTGTTCCAACATATGTTACACCCCATACT